AGTATACTTTTGTAGTTTCAGTCAGAAAAATGCTACAGATAATATTTTGTTTTATGTTCAGATTACATTTATTATAAATATAGTTTATGCAAATCAATTAGATTTGTTAAGGATACACTGTAGTGTGATCATTTCGAATAGTTCAACAAAAGTTTTTGTTGGAAATCCTTCATTATTAATTAAAACTTAATACTGCACAAATGCTTTTAATTCTTAAATTTAATTGGAAAACAAATTTAACATGTATCTTTTATAAGGTTAAAATTTATAATAAATCCAATTGTAAAATGCTAGCATTTATTGATCATTTTACAAGTTCTCGATATAATAACATAAATTTCTTTCCTAATCTCAGATTGTTTAGAGGCACATCTTAGTTTTGTGAAGACAAAAAAAAACAAAACAAAACAAAGAAAAAGGAATTACAGATAGGGTTATTTTCCTCAGAAACTCTCATGATAAATTTTTTTAATCTTAGTTAAAGGAGAACTTTTTCTTTAAGCTGACACTGTGTATTTACCTAGAGATAGAAATGGATGGGTAGGGGAGAAGGGAGGATGTTTAAAACTTATTAAATTAGCTATGAAAATGGGGGTACTAACTGATGTACTTTCTGGATTTCAGTAAGATTAATAAGCTTAGACTTTCCATGATGCCTGTGATTATAGGTTCACTCATATTTTTCTGAATTTTAGAGTTCTTTCTTGGAGCATTGTTATTAGGTTTAAGAGATTTTTCTCTTGAGATCCCCCGATCTGAGCATTTCATTTAAGATCACAAGTGTCATCTTCTGATCACTACTGTTCAGCCTCATTGTGAAATCACTTCCAAATCGGTGTCCCCACTTCAGAGAATTGGGGACGTAAAGCTGCTTTGGTACCGCAAAAGCTGTATGTGTGTGTTGGTAAAGCAAACAAGACTAATTCTGTGTGGAGTGTACTACAGAGCTCCCTGAACGTGTCTGATCTTTGCGGCACACACGTTGGAAGTGAAACCTAAACAACCACTGGCTTGCTGCTTGTTAATCTGCCCATTTTCTACTTCATGTCTAGATACAAAATTCACCCAGAACTAAATATTTTAACTTGATTGTTTTAACAACATTATACATACGACTTTAACTTTCTAGACACATTAAGTAGTCTTTTTTTAAGTTTAAAATAACCATTGATTGGTTTAAGCTTATTGACTTAAGAACAAATAAAACTCTTAAATGGCGTATATATACCAAAGTAAATAGATATCAAATGTGTGATATGATTTTAGAAAACACATTAAATCAGAATCAACAAAATATTGGATTTTTAAAATTATGTGACATAGAATGGACTGGTGTTTCCAACTTGAGAAGAACATTTTGAGAGATTTATGAATTTCAGCATATCTACATTTGATTTTTCTTTTTGTTACCTGCCTTAAAATATGTAGAGTGGAAAAAACAAAGCCTTTTATAATTTAACTTAGCATTATTAGGAAAGCCAATGAAACAGTTTGAATATTATAACTTAATACACTTAAATCGATTATTTCCTCAACAAATAGACAGAAATATATGCAAACTTTTATTGTAAATGGCTTTGTCCAAGAAGTGTGATTGTCCATTAACTTCTTAATCACTTTTATTATAATTTGAAAAGGCTTTGACATTTGATGCTGAACAATATAATGACTAATTTTTAGCATGCTCAAATTAAGGAATCAAATGAAAGTACTAATATGTCTTTTGTAATAAATGTAGTGTTCACACATATAAGAATGTGAATTTTAGAAAATCCTAGATAAATTTACCCTCTAAACTTGTAAGCCAGTATTCCCCACAGTGTATTTTTGCCATTGTTATAGCAAGATATTAACAGATACGAGGTGAGGGAGTAGATTCTGTGATCAAATGATTATTCTTTATTGTAGAATTTTTAGGACCTTTTGTATGCACATTTGCAGTGTAAATCTGAAAGATAGGATAGTGAACAAAAACCTGCTCTACAACAATTTCACTTATTTTCCTTTCTATAAGTACAGCATTGGACATCGGAGCTGAAAGTTTAGAAATTATGTATTTCATCCCCCAGCCAGAGAACGAACAGCTCTTTTTCTTGCAACGATTTCTCTAAATTGCTTTTTCATTCCTCAGGGAAAGAAAAAAGAAGACTGAGTTTGGTTGAAACCAAAATAATGTTGTTGAAAATATTATTTCCAGGTCATTTTTCCTTAGGAAAGAAGACCAGCAACGAAAAATGAACTTGCTGGTGAAGAATGTTTTATGATGGATCTTGTTATCAGTAGGATACATTCCTCTCCAAAGATATTGTTTGTGGAGTGTTTTCTTTATAAGAATAGGTTGATGACATGTAGAAAAGGGATGGAATGGAAAACGTCATCTGAGCCTAACAGGCATGTGGGGTTCCTCTCCTAAGGATTAGCATCATAGGAGAATTTTAAGTTGTAAGTTACATGTATATTTACCCAAGTTTGCTGACTATATATTCTCTAAGGTGGTCCCTTGATATTACATCAGTTAAGGCTCTAACAGTGTTTTTCCATTTAGGACCATCTATAGATGATGATTGAGTCCAGAGTTGAGAGATGTGTTTGAGATTGGAATGTAGTTGAGAACACATTTGAGAGGTTAAGATGCAAACTCTATTTAAGATTAGTATCTCTCTTATACCTCCCGGTTATCTGTTAAATGTAAGTGATAAGATCATCATAAAACCCCTATTCTACAAAATCTCTAAACCATTACTAAGCAATATTAAACCAATATACTTTAACACAGGGGTCCCACAAACTGTGGCCCACAGACCAAATCCAGCCTGCTGCCTGGTTTGTAAATAAGGTTTCATTAGAGTACAGCTGAATTCTTTTGTATATGCATTGTCTGTAGCTGCCTTACAGACAGAAATCATATGGTATGCAAAGCCTAGGATATTTACTGTTGGGCCCTTTACAGAAAACATTTGCTAGCTCCTCCATACTACCTAGTAATCAGAAAGAATCTAATGTAGCTTCAACAGAGGTTGATGTTCAGAAAATAGTCTAAATACTAGAAAAGACATGTATTTGTATGTGTGTGTGTATGGATCTATATGTGTGTGTGTGTGTGTGTGTGTGTGTATAATGTATTTAAACTTTTGTCAGTTGGTGCTATTCATATTTAAAATACTATTTTCAAACTATAATATCAAAATGAAACATTCTCAAAAAAAAAACTTCCCAAACTCTCAATGTAGTTAATATTTTTTCAGTATACATATTTTTCGATGCCTGGATGGCATGTCTTCCTCTTGGATAAAATAAACAAGATTTATCTTATATCTTGAGAAAATCTCCTGAGGTACAAACAATTCTAAACTTGTGTTTTAATCAATTAATAGATATGATACTTGACTATATTTCACATTCATGTCATAGAGGCACTCAATTGATGTTATGTGTCATTCAGTTGATGTTAACATGATATGTTTATTCCTATTTTATAATTTGACACATAGCATAATCAATTATCAAATTTTTATTAAAATGTATCTCTTAAAATGAACTGATTGCCTCACTTTATTGAATAGTTGATTTAAATTTGCTGTTATACTTAAAGGTCATATAATGTAAAGTCTTTATACATTACTTTATTTAAGATTTTCTTAGTCCTCTTTGAAACTTCCTCCCCCCCTTTATATTATTTAATTAATTGATTTCTGCTTAAAATTTGTTACTATCAAGAACTATCAGATAGATAAATTTTTTAAGAATGAATATGAAAATGCCTACCTTTAAACAGGCACATTTTTATCCAGATATCTTTATTGCAGTTTAAAGTTATGATCTTAAGCAAGGGGTATGTATGAATGTGTTTACATTCCTACCTACACTCAGTGCATGTGCATTTACTTGGCAACATTTTATTATAGTTACCAGCCTACTAAGCTATGATTATTTTTCCCAGTTTGAAAATGTGTAGCATACAATGGAGATTTTGTTTTTATTTGTTTTTTTACTTGAGAAATGGAATCTTTAATAATAAAAGTGTTATATGCTAATTAGACCAGACATCCTTCTGGATGTCCTTCCGGATGACCTTCCGGACAAAGCCACGGCAGGCGGGGGCCCTGGCCATCGTAGCGGTGCGGGGCCGAGCCAGCCACCGCGGCCATTTTTCGTGCATTGGGCCTCTGGTTTTCCTATAAAATGTCTCATAAAAATCACAAATATACTTTTAAAGCAGTTTCTTTATATTTGTTAACAGAACTTAGTTCTTGTCCTAACAAAAGTTTTTAAAGACTCCCCCTGACTGATGTGTCTTGATGTGTCTACCTATTGTAGAGGGCATTAATCTCATTTTAAAAGCTTACCACCTCGCTCTCTCACCTCCTCACTTTTTTTCTTTTTCTGAAATGACTTCAGTAATACTCTGTGCCTTTACTGTCATGATTTCTTCTGAGTAGTATTATTCTAAGTGCTTCTTTCTTGATCCCAGTTCTTGAAAATTGAAGTTCAAAATATATTGATAACTGCATCCACATGTATGCTAGGGCAACCTGTTCTAATACATGGGCTAATCTTGTGAAATTAGCCCAATTGTAAAATTGTATTTGAAACCAATTAAACTTACAACTTTTCTCCAGTAAATAAATCAAGTCTTGATGTATTATAATCCAAAGTTTTTATAATAGTACAATTGTCAAATTTATGTGCTGTCAAATATATATTCCTTGACCTACATGTTTCAGAAAGTATTTTCTGTCTAGTGAAGATTTGTTTGTCTTTTGTTTAAATTCATTTACATTTTCTTCAGATTAAAATTATTTAATATATTTCATAATCATGCTTTTATTTGCAAAATTGCATACTTTAAATATATCTAAAAATAATAAGTTTAATCTGTATATATTACCTTGAATGACAGTAATATATCAGCCTAGCAATTCTTCTTTTATACGTCCTGTAACTAGGGCTCACAAATAAGACCTGAACATTAATTTTATGGGTTTTTTTCTACTCGATAGGTGCTATGGATATAGAGGAGAGAAATCGCCAAATGAAAATTAACAAATACAAACAGGTAGCCGGATCAGATCCCAGACTGGAACAAGATTACCATTCAAAGGCAAGACATTTTTCTTTTTAAAAGTTGTAAAATAATCAATCATATGAAACTATTAGATTCTTTTAAACAGCTGAATGCAGATTAGTCAGACATGAACATATAATTCAATAGCCCCATGATATTATTAAATGATGAAATTTATTATGTATGTGTATACCAACTTTTAGGTATAGAATTTGCCTTATATTAAAAAAAATCATTTTATAATATACGATATTAAAGGAATGAAACTCATAGATGGCCTGAAAAATAATTATTTTAGACTTTTTCATTTTATAAAACCTATAAAGGTTCTAACACCCTCAAAATGTTTAAGAACTATTATCTTTGTACTGTTTTCCTAAACACAAATAGATTTTTTTGATTTTATAATATTTTAACTGAATCTGGTTTATAAATGAAGTATTAGAAAAAAATACATACTCATGAGGTATGTATTCAAAAGGGTTTTTAGCAATAGGTTCAAAAGGTTTTTTAGCAATAGTCTTTTTAAACTACTTTTTGGGAATAAGTTGAGGTATGAGGTTTACCAAGGTAGGAAAAAAGTATTTCATTGCTCTTGCTCTTTATATTTTTATAAAGAGCAAGATTATATTATCTTGCTCTTTATATTTTCAAAATATTTTAAAGTTCATGATATCATTAATGGCCAAAGTCATGGAAAAACTTGTTCTAACCTACCTATTTAAGAGTTAATAAAGGAATGAAAATCACAAACCTTACTCATAACATTTAGTTAATATGTATTCTATGATTTGGTAATTTAATCATTGCGATCATGTCATATTTGTGGTTTATTTATCTGTGTGATAGAGAAAAGCAGTTTGGATTTTTATATACTTACATATATTTTATATTTACCTTTTAAACCTTCAGTTTCTCTCCATTATACTCCATTCATTGGTAAAGTAAAGACTTAAGTAAACATGTGCATATGTGATAAGTAGAAGGAGTTTCTAGATTCTCCACTATATAACCTAGAAGAGGCAGAGATTCTTAACATCAACATCATCTTTCAAGCCACCATCTCTTCCTCAAATACTGACACAGTGAACATAAGATTGTTCATCACAAAATTCTGGTGTGCTGGAAATGGCACAGCCTAAAGCCAAGAGAGGTAAACTTAAGACAAACAAAAATAGCCCTGCCTTTACTCATTGGGTTCTAAACTTCTAGAAATTGTTCTCTAAAATAAAAGTATGAATAACTTGAAATAGGTTTGGTGAATTTCACAGAAAATAGTTTTGTAATGGTATATTTCAGATACCTCCCTAACCTTTTGAACTTGATATCAGAAGTGATAGCTATGCCTTCCCAGGTATTTTTTTTATATTTCTGCCTTGGGCTATATAGATAGACCTGATCTTATGTGACCTCTGTTATGCTCTAATCTCTCATTCATTTCATATAATCAATCCTAAGACCAAGGCATGAAGTCCTAATAAAATAGGATATTAAAACTTTCGTAAATATGTCTTCAGATAACACAAATTTATTTTATTTGCTTGTTTATGCCCCACGATACTTCAGGAATGTAGGTAATTTTTAAAAATACATTTAATACTTTCAATACTATTGTCAATGAAGAAATGAGTGTCAGGAGAAAATGAAGTCAAGACAAAACAAGGTAAAGTTTGTGAGCAAAATGCAGTGTGAGATCTTACATACCTGCCCTGTGTGGAGCTTCTACTTTGACCATGAGCTTCCCAACAAGCAGCAAAGGCAGAAAGAGAAACTGGGTTGGTTGTATGATTTACATAGTTAAATGCAATAAAAACAAGTCCCTTAAAAGCAATCGCAATGATAATTACTGTGGATACATGACAGGAATTTCTTACAGGAGGATTGACTAAAGAATACTATAGGCATGACTCAAAATATTTTTCAGAAAAACAAGTTTTGATTCCATTCCAGTATATAAATAAATGAATGTCTGAGGCTTCAAGCTTACATAACTTTGACACTATTTATTGTAGGCTAGAAAAAATGTAAGTTTTGGCAAAGGACTAATTATACTAAGCAATATAATTTCCTAAACATCTTCTATGGCAGTGGTTTTCAAGTGGTTTTCCTGGAGAATCAGCATCACCTGAGGACTTTCAGGATGTAATTCTCTATAATTATAGATGGTTCTTCATCAGTTAAGAGCACATATAGATTTGGTTATTATTAATTTTCCTACTAACAGTTCCTTAGATTAAACTAATGCTCAACAGCATTCTTTTCTTTTTAATTATGGATAGTTAGCGTTATATTTTCATTCTTTTCTTCCTTATCTTGATAACAAGTGCCAATTAAAAGCTTGTTTTGAGCTAAGTACATTTAATACATAAGATCTAATTCTTGAAAAAAATCATTTAACAGATGAGGGAACAAAGATATAGAAAGTTTATGTAATCTATCCAAATTTACATGGCCACTAAGTCATGGAAAGTATTATTTGTAGCTAACCTTCTTTTCATTTTGAGATATCTGAGATCGCATCCGAAGCCTCCAACATGTGGAGCACATGCTGTACCCCTGAGCTGTGTTCCCAAAATGCCAGTGAAGCTGTCAAGGAGTGTTGATGTGATGTCATCAAGTGTTAGCGAAGTTTCTTTTTTAACTACACCCTCCACAGTTTACATGGCATTGCCTCCCTGCAATTTGCAAGCTTCTTACTGATAGTTTGTAAGCAACGCTTACTAATTTTCTAAAAATCTCTTTAATAACTCAGCAGGCAAGCATCTCTAGAGAAATGCCTATTGTTACTATCATCCTAAGAATATTTTAAGTATATTAGGAAATAAAAAGCAGAGCATCTGTATTTAATAAGAACAGCAAAAGGCATTTGCAGATATGATTTCTTTTTAATCAGTGGATGATTTCTTGTTTTTTCCCCCCTCAAAACAGAATTTAACTGTTTAGCCAATGCACCCTTGCATGTCTATTGCATTCTCCTTATCTATTCTACTCTTGGCAGATGTTCAAAGATCAACTTTTATTTTTTCTATAAAACCAACATTCTGTGCTCTTCATTGGTCCAGAAAAATGGAATTTGTCTATTAAATTTAACAGAACAAATTATAATTCAGCATAGACCAACTACCCTTCTGGGAGTTATATAATGGTTAATTAATATAATTAGCAATAATTGATAGTCAAACCATGCGGATAGTAAATCTGGAAATTGATATGGGGAATTTGATCATTTTATTTAAATATGATTTTTACTTTTTACATTAGCCATATTTGATATTTTAAAATTATCTCAGAACCTGTTTTTAAAAGGGTAGTCCATAACATTTCAACAGAGACTGCTATACAATTCATTGGTACAGTATTTATTTGGAACTCAAAGCCTATTTCTCTGTAGAACCCGTGCCCTATATAAAATGGCAATAATATTCCCACAGAATCATCACAAAAATATCTAACCCCATTATAGCACTTAGATTATTACTTTCTGAGTTCTTATTTACCTCTCTAGAGTTAAGTAGTATAGCCCTAAATTGCTTAGAACTTTCCAAGGTGGACCATAAGTCCATGCTAATTCATTCAACCCATAATCTCATATATTGAGTTACCTCTGTGGGACCAGACAACGATGTAGCAAAAGGAAGGCCAGGTGCATACCCCATCCTAGTCACTGTCACCTTTTCACCCAGGCTCTCTGTCTTTTAAGGGCTATTTACCAGTTTCAGAGGCATGTTAGAAGGATAACAATCAAACTAATTTACATTAAAATATGCATAAAACAACACACAAATAGTTTTATGGTTTTTTTAAAACACACACATCCTGGAAATAGAAATAAAACTCACATGATTGAATTGTAGGCCATATCAATATACCAAAAGTTTAAACAGGTAAAGACCAAGTGTTTTGGGCAAGTAGATAGCCACTGTTAACTGAGCTGCCCCCTTTATTAGAGCTTAGTCTCCTCTCAACACTGAGAATACACATTAAATGCCAACTTTAAGTGCTTTACATTGACTTTCAAAACACAGCCAGTAGGGACATCAGAGAGGGGAGAGAAGACAGGTTGGGGCTTAGTAGGAGTGGCTGTTTATAGGTATGATGTTTAGACTTTAGTATCATCAGAGTGTCCCAGCAGTACATAAGTGTAGCTTGGAGTCAAGCAAACTCCACCTGGGTGACTGTGGATAGGTTTTTAAAATTTATTAAACAAGACTTTGAGATCTGTTTCACAGGGCAGTGATTAGGGTGAAACGAGAGTATGTATATCAATGGTTTAGCATTTAGTAGAATGCTCAATAAATGGTGTAGCTAATATTTGTTATTATTATTTTATAATAACATCAAATAGGCACCAGAAATTAATGTGATGAGGTCAAAAGATATGGTAAAGAAATAATTGAACTAATTAAAAGGATTTCAGTGTAACTCAATTATTATTGAATGTTTCCTTTAGTCTCAAAAAGATTCAAGCAATGTAGATCTAAAAGGAAAAATCAAATTTAGGGGAAAGAATTTGTGAATCTTTGAGGGATATGGAGATTTAAAAATATAAAAGGAGAGTGGAACATAATATGTGATGAGAAATTACAAACTAAATTACTGAAATTGAGTAATTATGTTACCACGGTTGATATTAAACACGCCTGGCCCTTGTGAAGTGGCTAACAGGTACACATGTGGGTATGGGGATGTAACAAGAAGTGCAGTACTCCTTATTAGCGGTGACATAAACCGATCTGAAAAACCAAAAGACTAAATTTATATAAAGCAAATTTTAAAATGTAGATTGGATGGCTTTATACAAATTACTAAAAAAACACATGAAAATACAGGTATTTATAAAAGTGAAGAAATGAAAGATATGCTATAATTTTATAGCAGTGATTGAAATAAAATGTTAGAGAGAAAAAAAATATTTGCCTAAGCAGCAAAGTTGAGTTGCATATGACACCTTCCAATAACGTTCTGGGTGAGCTGGGCTAGTGCCACTGGAGAGAAATCTGAAGCCTCAGTTCTCAAGCTGCCAAGAGACCCTGATA